TGATTAATATCTCCGGCACTATCCTGCATTAGTTTCGCACCAGGTCTTAAATAAACTCGGTCTTGCCTACGTAGCTGCCAGGGCCTTTTCACTTCTGAAACTGGTGGGGCCGACATAAAATTGTCCTTGGGCTGAGTGAATGGTAGAGTTGTCTCAGATGAATAATCTTTTCCGACAGAATCTACGGGAGTCTGTCTTCGGGCTATATAATCTGCATGACCGATTTCATCTAGTAATTTCGTCTTTTCTGGGTCCTCCCGAGTGCCCCTTTCAAAGGGAATAACGGTCTGAATTTTCTCCATGATAGAAGTCTCCATGGTTTCTTTAAAAGTTTCCATCTGACTCCTCACACTTCGTAGTTGTCTCTCTTGATGATCCTTGCTTTGTTGAACTTGTTCTGCGATCCGAGATATGTTGTGTATTTGAGTATTTTGAGATGCTGTAAGTCCTTCAACCAGACTCTTTTGAGTTTCCATTACTTGTGTCATACATTTCTGTTGAGTCTCTGCTAATTTTTGCATTTGCCTCTGTTGAGCCACCAATGATTCACTGATTTTGTCCATCTTTCTCTCGAGCTTACTCTCAATCAGTGTTAAGTCTGGTCTCATCGTATCCTCTTCTCTAAACCTCCTTACTGTTCCGCAAACAACAGAAGAAGTTAGAGGATACCTCTGTCTTCTTGGAGGATCTCTCTCTTTACGGGATATGGAGTTTAATGGAGTTTTGGCATCTGTCATTACAGCTCCAGTCCAATACCCAGAGCTCCATAAGCTGGATGACTGCCTCTGCTCCGTATCACTATTCGTCATTCTGGGCCGGGCTCCTTCTGTAGGGATGCCTTTTCTGGGAGACAGTTTCTGTTTAGCAGGATCCATTATTTCTGGTACTGTCACATCCGCAGCTCCTGGATTATCAATTTCCATGTCATCCGACTTAAAAAACACAGTTTTCTCAGGGTCTTCATTGGTTATGTCCTCCATTTTTGGGGGAGGTGGAAGATCCTGTTCATGCTCCATATTCGATTATTGTATCAACTAAATCAACACTATCCCACCACTGCCACCAGTGTAACGGCTAGCCTAATTTGGGTAGTGTGGGTGTTTTTAGACTAGGCTAGGTCACTTTGGGGATACGTTGTACACATTAAATGTACGTGTGAAAATAAAGAGACACAATAATTAATGAAAGTTTAACAATATATATTCTGGCTTCATCCGCCTCAAAATAATACAACACAAATTGATACTAAGTTTCAGTTTCAGAGGTGCGAATTATAAGTCCTTTATGCAATTATATTTCTATATTTATCTCTATATATAAATGTTCATCACTAATATAGTTTTTCATCAACAAGTCCACCAAGTTGAAGATATAAACTAAGTTCACCAAATGGGCTGTAAATATTCTAAGTCGATCAAACTGAAGATGTATGGAATCAGCTAAGTTCTTCAGATTACCGATGAATATTCTAAGTCCACCAAGTTGAAGATATAATCTAAGTTCATCAAATGGACTGTAAATATTCTAAGTCTATCAAACTGAAGATGTATGGAATCTGCTAAGTTCTTCAGATTATCGATGAATATTCTAAGTCCACCAAGTTGACGATATAAACTAAGTTCACCAAATGGGCTGTGAATATTCTAAGTCTATCAAACTGAAGATGTATGGAATCTGCTAAGTTCTTCAGATTATCGATGAATATTCTAAGTCCACCAAGTTGAAGATATAATCTAAGTTCATCAAATGAGTCGGGAATATTCTAAGTCTATCAAACTGAAGATGTATGGAATCTGCTAAGTTCTTCAGATTATCGATGAATATTCTAAGTCCACCAAGTTGAAGATATAATCTAAGTTCATCAAATGGGCTGTGAATATTCTAAGTCCATCAAACTGAAGATGTATGGAATCGGCTAAGTTCTTCAGATTATCGATGAATATTCTAAGTCTATCAACTTCAGGCAACTTTGGTGAATATTGGCTAAGTCCCTCAATATATACGTGAATATTCCTAAGTTCCTCTGGGCATCAAACTCCAGACAACTATGGTGAATATTGGCTAAGTCCCTCAATATATACGTGAATATTCCTAAGTTCCTCTGGGCATCAAACTCCAGGCAACTATGGTGAATATTGGCTAAGTCCCTCAATATATACGTGAATATTCCTAAGTTCCTCTGGGCATCAAACTCCAGGCAACTATGGTGAATATTGGCTAAGTCCCTCAATATATACGTGAATATTCCTAAGTTCCTCTGGGCATCAAACTCCAGGCAACGGTGAATATTGGTTTAGTCCCTCAATATATACGTGAATATTCCTAAGTTCCTCTGGGCATCAAACTCCAGGCAACTATGGTGAATATTGGCTAAGTCCCTCAATATATGCGTGAATATTCCTAAGTTCCTCTGGGCATCAAACTCCAGGCAACTATGGTGAATATTGGCTAAGTCCCTCAATATATACGTAAATATTCCTAAGTTCCTCTGGGCATCAAACTTCAGACAACTTTGGGGAATATTGGCTAAGTCCCTCAATATATGCGTGAATATTCCTAAGTTCCTCTGGGCATCAAACTCCAGGCAACTATGGTGAATATTGGCTAAGTCCCTCAATATATACGTAAATATTCCTAAGTTCCTCTGGGCATCAAACTTCAGACAACTTTGGGGAATATTGGCTAAGTCCCTCAATATATGCGTGAATATTCCTAAGTTCCTCTGGGCATCAAACTCCAGGCAACTATGGTGAATATTGGCTAAGTCCCTCAATATATGCGTGAATATTCCTAAGTTCCTCTGGGCATCAAACTCCAGGCAACTATGGTGAATATTGGCTAAGTCCCTCAATATATACGTAAATATTCCTAAGTTCCTCTGGGCATCAAACTTCAGACAACTTTGGGGAATATTGGCTAAGTCCCTCAATATATGCGTGAATATTCCTAAGTTCCTCTGGGCATCAAACTCCAGGCAACTATGGTGAATATTGGCTAAGTCCCTCAAGGTAATATCTTAAGTGTATCGACCGAAAAATCCTCTATGTCCATCAAATGGTATGCAGAATTCATCTAAGTCCCTCAAGGTAATAAAATTCTCTAAGTCCATCAAATGGTATGCAAAATTTGTCTAAGTCCCTGAGGCATCAATCTCTAGAGGTGCGTGGAGGTTCCTTCTCATCAAAAGTTGTGTACGTGCCTCCCAGTATATGTAGAATCTGCCTAAGATCCTCTAAGTATATCCTCAAAGTCCCTCAACGGGTATGTCGAATCTGCCTAAGATCCTCTAAGTATATCCTCAAAGTCCCTCAACGGGTATGTCGAATCTGCCTAAGATCCTCTAAGTATATCCTCAAAGTCCCTCAATGGGTATGTCGAATCTGCCTAAGATCCTCTAAGTATATCCTCAAAGTCCCTCAACGGGTATGTCGAATCTGCCTAAGATCCTCTAAGTATACCAGGGTAAAATCCTCTAAGTCCCTCAACGGGTATGTCGAATCTGCCTAAGATCCTCTAAGTATATCCTCAAAGTCCCTCAACGGGTATGTCGAATCTGCCTAAGATCCTCTAAGTCCCTCAATGGGTATGTCGAATCTGCCTAAGATCCTCTAAGTATACCAGGGTAAAATCCTCTAAGTCCCTCAACGGGTATGTCGAATCTGCCTAAGATCCTCTAAGTATACCAGCAGGGTAAAATCCTCTAAGTCCCTCAATATGTGAGATGAAATCTTCTAAGTCCATCAGATATATGCTTAGAATTAGCCTAAGTCCATCGAGCGTCAATCCCTGGAGGCACGCAGGTCTGTCCTCTCTCAGTTCCAGCTAGAAAGTGCCTCTCAGTATATGTAGAATACCTCAACAGGTATATGTCGAATCTGCCTAAGATCCTCTAAGTATACCAGGGTAAAATCCTCTAAGTCCCTCAATATGTGAGATGAAATCTTCTAAGTCCATCAGATATATGCTTAGAATTAGCCTAAGTCCATCAAGCGTCAATCCCTGGAGGCACGCGGGTCTGTCCTCTCTCAGTTCCAACTAGAAAAGTGCCTCCTGAGTCACCCGGTCGTCTCTATTTATACCCCAGACATGTATGTAACATGTACTAGGTTTTGCACACGAACCTAACAAGTGATTAATGGGCTGATGCAATACCTAGGCCCCTGGACAGGACAAGACTGGTGTACAATTACTATGACGCAATCAGGATATGAATAGTGCAAAATAACTGGCTTCATTTAGAACTCACAATCTGTGCTATCTAATGTAACATCAATATATGTTTAGTATATAATTAACTAGATAAATGTATAAACTAAATAAATATAACATAAACCAATCATCATTGGTTTTAATCATGCCGAAATTGACCGAAAAAACTAGTAATTGAATGTAGGTCAAGATAGCTCTTCAAAAGTAAGATGAGAAAAATGTAAACAAATGAAAGCAAAATGAAATCTCACAAAATCGAACAGTTTACATGATTCTGCCTACTCCTTTAGTGTCACATACATTCATGTAAGTATACTACTTGTCAAACAAACTGAAAAACAGTTTCCAAATGTGTTAACTGTAAGCGAACTGATAAAATGGCACAGGACTACAAAGAACAGAAAATTTGAAAAGTAAAAATTTGTTACAATATGTTATCATTTTAAGTAAAACCCATAAAGTGGAACATTTATGTTAGTGGAACACTTCTGTGAGTGGAGCACTTGGAAGTCCAATGGCCAATTGACAACACTTAACAGAATTAGAACACTTTTTAGAAATATCAAAATGGTGATCCACTAACACATGTTTTACTGTACTTTTATGCTGTATCCAAATAAATCCCCGTCCTGTTTCTGCCGACACATTTGCACAGTTCCAAGAATATATATGAGATTTCAATTTTTTTTTTACCAAAGCCCTTATGAGAAATCTTCTAATCTCATACATTAAAGAAAAGTTGTTAAACAAAAATGAGCAAGTGAAAGGTGCAACTAAATGTTAATAGGTACCTGCCCATATGTGCCTCAGTGGTAAATCCTACTTGGTTGTTTACAATCAGATGAAGGCTACCACCAACACTGAAGTGGGGTGCATATGCAAGGTGAGCGGTTTCAGGGACAATACCCTGAAATAAAATTGAACAATTTAGTGTTCAATAAGAAAGAATCAAAATGGTGCCATCCAGTAAGCTCTCATTATAAATAAAAAAAAAAAAGAAACATTTATTTTTTTATCTTTTTCATAATGTGCAGTGACCCCTAATTCACTGGTGATCCACTCGATTACGCTGGTTACCAAAACGAACCGTTTTGGTAACAAAATGTCGGAACGTCGAAGGCACGATTTTTCTTTTTTCCTTATTTCACGCGTTGTAGGCAGAATCCCCAAGACGTTTTTTCTCACAACGTGCATCAGTATCATATGTTTTAGAAAATGTACATGTTTGCTAAAAAATAGCTCAGAGGACAACAGAATCGTCGATTTACTTCCTCACTTAAGTTACAGAAACGGTTTTTCGAAAAACAGTTAAGATCTGCACTTTTAACCCAAACCGTTTATGTAACTTAAATGAGGAAGTAAATCGACGATTCTGTTGTCTTCTGAACTATTTGTTCGCAAATATGTACACTTTCTTAAACTTATGATACTGATACACGTTTGTGTTAAAAAATGTCGTGGGAATTCTGCCTACAACGTGTAAAATAAGGAAACGAGAAAAATCGTACCTTCCGGATGTTCCGACATTTTGTTACCAAAACGAACCGTTTTGGTAACCAGCGTAATCGAGTGGATCACCAGTGTAATTGCCTACATGTACCATGTACTGTACAGTATAAACATATATATGTACTGACTAACAAAGCATGCATAACTCTAATAAACATTTACAAGATTCGGGACACCTTCCTGCACACCACAAGCCTCATCATAATATATCATTAGCACCTAGGGTCATTGTCGTTTCCCAGGCTCTATCACTACATTCTATGAGGACATGTCCGAAGATGAATAAAATAAAAGTACTTCAACACAGTACCTGACCAGCAAATGATGCATCCCCATGTATTTGAACACATAGCACCTTATCACCCTGGACAGCATCAGGATCATCTGAGTATGCACCATCTTGTTCATACTGTTGCTTAGCCCTTGCTTTACCTGCAGCTACTGGGTTATTCGCCTGGAAAACATACGATTCACCAATTCCTATTAGTACTAAAAATTGGCAACTCCACAGAGTAGCAAATTCAAATGAGCATTATATTCATGAATCTGTCACAAAAATATCATCAACTCTACCCTTGATTTGCAGATGTAAAAAGACACAAATCAGAGATATATCAGAATTTCCAACAATTTAAGCATTTGGATGACCATAGTTTCAAAGGTACAAATAAAAGGCAATACAATATGTGAGATCCTACATAGTACAATGCAACAAAACTTTGAAGAGATATATTTGCATCATACATGTAGCATGAAGACATTGACTTTTAGAGCTGTTAGTTCCAAAATTCCAAAATGTACTTAAGGATGCAGTACCAGGTCAGCGTAGAAAAAGTTCCAGACATTAGATTTTGCTCATATTTTTTACAATGTATCACTATGATGTTATCATCATCCAAGTGCAATATGAAGAGGATTGACCGTCTGGTAATTACAAAATAAAAAAATTATTTTACCCACCCAAAATGAATCTTTTTACTTTTTTGAGTTTTCAATAGAGCTGGCACCTTTCGAACCCTGGTTTTCGTATCCACTAATTGCGACTCAAGAACAAGTTTTCCCATAAAAGTGAAAGGGATAAAATATGCTCGATAAAATATTTGCAATTTAATTCTTTTCTGGAAACACCATTACCGAAATAAACTATAATTTTTGAATAAGACTAAATGCGAAAATGACGTTCTTGGGAGCTAGCTTTCTCAAACCGGAAGTAAAACCTGCGCAAACAGACGTGAAAACCGACCCGGTACTGCATCCTTAAGGTACGCATTTTCTTAAAAAGTAGGTTTTAAGTCTGTTTTCAGTCATACATTGCTGCAGCAGATCTATGAATTGATACCAAAATTAAAAATATACATTATAAGTTTGAAATATAATCTTTATTTCGTAAATTGAGTAAAACATGCATCAAGTTCACTTTTCAGGAATGGGTCCTTCAGGATAGCTCCCTAAATACACTTTTCATTCCCTCAGTAGGTATGGAATACATGTTTATACATTATAAGGTGTTATAAAGTGTGTATTGTACATACCTCAAGATGAGATGGGTTTGGGATGAGGGAGACATGCACAGATTTATCCTTGTACTTCAGATCTACAGATGTGACTGAAATGCAAATATAATGATTAAGTCACATCTGATTTTGACATAATTTAAAGGGACTATTTCTGATCCTAAAATCCTGAAAAATAAAATGAATCCAGAACAACCTTTAATCCATCATGAATCTAAAATTGTTCTCAATATGCATTTTGTACTTACATAGATGGGAGAGGACATCTCCTTTGCAGTCTACATTGGGTGGGAATTCAGGCAAACCTTTCATCTGAATTAGAGTAAGTTTATGCATTCAGTATTCATTCAGTGTAGAGTAACAGTATTGAATGTGTGAAACTGTGTTTTAGTTTAATAGTAATATGACATTAAACCTGCAAATCGCTCCAAAATGCAATCTTGGGTTGTTTCGGGGGTGAACTTTATCATTTTGAGCTTAATGAAAGATTATAGAATGATGAACAAATGGGGCAAATCTTGTGTATAAATACGATAAATGTGTCATTTCAAAGATTGATCATTGAATTGCTTCGATTGGTGACGACGATATGATTTTGGAAAGGTTTCTAAATTAAGAACGTGACGTCACTTTCGAATTATAGCATTCAACATAAGTAGCGTTTAATTACTCCACTCATTCATAATAACTCGGTGGCCTTGCGGTAGAATGCTCGCTCAGCACGCAGGTTGCCCGGGTTCGAATCCCGCACTAACTTTTTTATTTTTTTAACCAAATGATTGTTCTTTGATATTACGCAGAAAAAACAATTTTTATTTACATAAACTTTATATTAGAGCTTGAAAATGTAAAAACAATATATGTCAACATATTGCGTTTTGGAGCGATGTGCAGGTTTAATGACTTTGGAATTTAGAGAAATCATACTTTAACAACACATTTCACACTTTAACTACACTACACATGTAACATTTCCCAAACTTCACGTAAGATAGTGTTTCCAAATATGAACAGTTGTGAATAACTTTTAAAGATTTTAAGACAAAGTATCTTCTACATGATTTATGCAGGATTATGATTCAGGTTTTCAAAAACAATGTTTTCTTTGAACAAATTAATCTGTGGGATGCTTTGGAAATCAAATCAAATTTTCAAAATTGTCCACATTTGGAAACAAATGCTCAATCCCAAAATTAAAACTTTGGTTGGGAAAGCCAGGAAATAGAAATATAAAGCAATATTGCAAGGTTGCTCTTTTTAAGCAGAGACTTTCAAAACCACTTCTCATCACTGGTGTATTATTCTACAAACTACATGAAGCTATAAGGTGACGAAGATCTACATGGTGCATACTCTACCATAGAGGAAGAACTTTTTTATCCATTTTATTAAAGCCTGCTAAGTGGGTGATAATATTGTAAGCAACACACATATAACAATTTAGAAAATGGGGAAGGGGGAGCAAGACTTGAGGTAACCTTTATATTATTCATATGACTTTTGAAGGAAAGCATTATGAGGATGGCGTTTCAGGTATGTGTGGCATTTTATGTAATTGTGCAAAAACATTTATCCTGTTTCCTACCCAAGGGAATTTATGCTAGATAAAATATATTTTTCAAAAATTTGTCTCATTTTTATGAAAGCAATATTTTTCAACATGTAAGCTATTAGGCTTTTAAACTGGGTCCAATATTAAAATATAAGCCTAACTTTTCAAAAATGAGACAAATTGCCTGTACGGAATGGAAGCAAATAGAATATCTATGTGAATAAAGAGCTTTTGGGATAGGAATACCTTCTGTATTTGTTGCACCATGGGATATTGCAACACTGTTGCTAGGAGAGTGTGTCTCCCTCTATGGTGAGCACTCATAACTATATCTTCCACACCATCTATAATCCAATACCCAAGTTATTTTGAATTAGACACTTACAAACACCAAGCACAGTCCAAACACTGATACAAACCACACAAACAATGCACATGTAGACCTCATAAATGCAAAGCAATATCTAAAAATACATGTCACAACCATTCAAGATCAATAACATGTAGGACAATGTTAGATATCACTCTTCATACAACACAGACTGGTTACTACGGTTACCTTTTGAAACATAATGACTGCTGGAAATTCCAACATGGTTGCCAGAAGATTGAGACGCCCCCTATGAGGCATACACATAACTACATCCTCAACATCAACTGAATATAACAGGAAACAGTAACATTTAGGCAATGTTCCATATTCTTATAGCTTTTTAGAATTGAATTATAGAAAAAAGTATGATTATCTGAGCTTGTAAATTTTTGACAAACTAATTAATTAACCTGTTTATTGCATTATAAAATTGTCAATTTGGACACATTTTAAAAATTTTAATACTTTCCATAATTGCTCTTCATTCAGCAATAGCATTACTATTATTAATACGTCTAGCCCTTATGTTATATACAAGCAAAAGTGAACTGCATGTTGTTAGAGTGGTTTGACTACATTTAAGGCCTTTAAAAACTAGTATTAAAACAACTATGGAAGCCATTTCAAAAACTTGAGCAGTAAATGGAAGTGTCTAATTGTCTATATCTTTGTTCAATTTCTGTTTTGAATTGATATTTCAATGTTTCCAATGGAGACAGTTATGATGAATATTAAACAAATTAACATTAACATCTAACAATAATTCAAACAGAACAAAATAAAACTGTGGAGATCATATTACTTACATTCACAAGATGAGGAGAAAACTTCATCAAAAAATCCCATCATGCTCTCTGCTCCTTCGCCCCCGTATCGCTTGACAGTTGTAAACTTATTTGCCAAGAACAGATCAAACGCCTGACATTTCAGCATAAGTTTTGCATAGTCTACCTTTCTCTCTGGCGACAAAACATTGGTGTTAAAACTTTGTTCATACTTTTGAGCAAACCATTCCCTTTCTTCAAATTCCTACAATTAAACAAACATATATACACAAATAAGCTGCTTGTGTACAGAGATAAAAATACACACACATTTAGCATAGTGTGCATGTTTAAATCAGTGACACGCAAACGAAATCTGGATCATCAGTACTACTACATAAATATAGTCTAAAGATTCTACAGTATATACAATGTAAGACAAGGCATTAATATGTAAAATGTCACCACCTACCATTTGTTACAGACATCAACCACCGAATGCCGAACACTGACCACCAAACACCATCAACAAAAAAGTTAGAGACTTAAACAATATGCCACTACTTGTGGTGTTAACCTAAAAAAGTAAACTTACATGTAAGTGGTGGTACTCTATTGACATGGCCCCACAGTATAATTTTTCTAACGTTTCCACAACTTCTGCAGTTGTAGCTTGTTGGGCTCCATGATATAATATTCCATGTAAGTTGTGAGTGTTAGTCTCAGACAATCCATAGGATGCCAGATCAAGTTCTGGTACCAACCTACGATAACAATTTTACATATATTTTCAATTACATACTGTATTTTCTTAATGCCAAAGGACCTATATTCATAAATGTTTGTTCAGCAAGGCAAATTGGGACTAGGCTATACATGTACAGTATTTACATTGGTTTCACAAGGCCAAGGGAGGCTTAACATACTAACATACTACATACTTAACATGCTACAGTATGTTTGATGAGGCCAAAAGGTGGCTAAATCTACTCATGTTTTGTGAGGTCTAGTGAAGGTTTTGTGAGGCCATATTTACATAGGTTTGGCAAGGCAACAAGAGCTATATTTACATAGGTTTAGCAAGGCCAAGGGGGTCTATATTTGCTTTCTTGTGCCCATGTTCTCTGTAAGCTGTCACCAGACGCACCAGGTTACTATGATTGATTCGATTATTCGATATAGCTGCATCTGTAAAGAAACGGAAAATACAAATAGTATTGTCATCTGAAACACACGTTCTTGTAAGTACTTTGTATCGAGTTTGAAAAAAATTTAAAATTTCAGGAGATGTGAAATGCCTTGGCTTTCAAGAGATAAACATTGCAGAGCCATGCATCTGTACAATCCCCAATCCAATCCAGATACATTTTATATTTTGGGATAAATCTTGGATTACTAATCCGATAAATATTTGGTGAATTCGTACGATCCGTGGATTATGAGGGGGATTAATCTCAGGATAAATCTTAGTCCAACAACATTAGACCTAGCCTGGGCCTCGTTTCTTATCTGACATGTCTTATGGCCCCGGCTAGGTCTAACCTCCATGATCATTTTGCCCTTGATGCGTTAATTTAATCGTTCAGCAGGTTTCGACAAGCGGAACTAATTAAACCCTGAAACCATGGTCATATTACACAAAGAATGTGATTCAAGCATGCATACATACCTTATGAATACATACAAACCATCCCGTATCCCCTTTAGACCCTATTGATGCATAATTACGGAAATATTGGAGACAGGTTTGGAATATAATGAAAATGTCGGTCAGTTTCGGTAACATCGAAATTGCAAATCGTATCAGAAATTAACCGTCATCGCGGCACTGCATTAACAAACAGTAGGTTTGCAATTAATAACTATTTTGTGTGTATACACGCGCTATATAAATCAATCAAAGATACCTGCTATCCTCAAAAATTATCTTTTAATGCGATTTATCGCGATAATAATTATCAATCTATTTGACAACAATTTCGTTTCGCTAGTAGTTTAATTTTACGATCCAGGACACTCGGACAAACAGACACAATGACAGACATGCGGAAATGTCATTTTAGAGATCGGTAAGTGTAGCCTCATTTTACGAGTATAAATGAACATTTAACGCAATAATATTGTGTTAAATCGCTTGATGTTATGTGTTTTTATATTATTGTCAAGTATCAATTGCACGTTATCGCGGCAAAATGGTTTCGATGGATCCAGAACTTGCATCAAAGGAAAGAATAGCAAAGAGGTTAAACTCAATAACGGCCCCAAGAAAATTCCTAATAGTAAAGAACGCCGTTATTGAGTTTAATGACGTTGAACTAGATAAATCTCAATCCGGATTGGATTAATGGCCCCTGATGTATCAGTTATTGTAGTTATTTATGTTGCACATCTCAGTACATTAATACAGCCAATAGTTTCGAAGAAACGTTGACTACCACCTATTCATGTACATGTACTGAGCAAAGAGGTGTGTCATTTTACAACCAACCAATGACCAGATGTACAGTACAGTAATTAGATCTACCTAGTACATATTCCTTTGGTTTCGAAGGTTTATAGCCAAATACACCTTCCTTTGTATGATAGCATCTTGTCACTAAATCATTGGCTTTATGTTTCAAGATAGATAGCTCAATATATGCTTTTAAAGACCTTGAAAACTTGTAAAAAGTCATCATAAAAGTTTTTTGCAGAAACTTTGAAAAACTGGGTCAAGGTGAAATCTAGTTGCTTAGAGATTTAAAAGGAAGTAGGTATTTAGAAATCTAATATAATTAAACAATATTTTTGATAAATAGAAGTATTTCGCCGCATCATTGTAACTAGTTACTGTCTTTAGTTCCAAGATAAATAAAATAAATCAAAAAATTTCCCAGGGGGCATTGCAAAAATATTTTTTGAAAAAAATTCTAAATAAAATTTGTTCTCACTATGGACCCTTTATTTATGGCATATAGCTTCTTTCGTCGTCGGAAATATGAACCATGTGTAGAACTATGTACCAACTTGCTAGAGAAGAATCCTTATGACCAGGTGAGCTCTGAAAACATATTTGTTTCGTAAAATTGAGCAAAATTTTTAACAAATGTCGTGGGTGATAATGGGTCATCTTGTTTCCAATATAAACATTGGCCACACGATAGTAAAATACTGAGATGATTATTTTAGTTAGACAAAAATACACTAGAAAAATGCTACCATACTAAATTACAGGCTCTTCTATAATTATGTAATTACCAAATCCCCAAAACGAATCAGCTTTGGGGGCTATCAGTTTTTCGACCTTCCTACATGTATAAGATATACATTTGTAGTCTACCTTGAATCTATTCATTCAGTTATAATTGCAGCTTCTTACTCCAATACAAATAGTGGCCTATCTTGAATGATAATCTGTATTTGGTTTAGCTCTTTGGTCCAACTTCATAAACATAGTTTTAGCACAGATCGATATAATTTAGAAGTGTACCTCTTGTGCAATATTATAAGATTATAAGATGATTACGGTTTATAGGCATATTTTGCCTGTTTAACCGATCAATACTAAGGTTAGTAAGGATGTATAAAATGATAGTCCACTGTATGATCGTATTTCATTGGGTGATTGTACCAGTGGGAGTCCAATCTGTTTTTGAACTGATTCACACTTTGGGCATTAACTACCCATTCTGGTATACAATTCCATTGTTTTACTACTCTCTGGCTAAATATGTGCTGTCTGGATGTTTTACATTGTGACTTAAATAGATACTGGGTGTTACATCTACGTGTTCGTTGTGGTACTTCTTGCTGGAGTAGACTGGGAAAAAGTAGTTTTGTATTTACATCATAGAGGTTATTAATATACTTGTATGTCTCTATCATATCTCCTCTGAGTCGTCTAAATGCAAGTGTTGTCATATCTAGTACATGTACCTTAAGACGTTCAGGGTATGAGAGTTCCCTCAGTGATGGAATTATTTTTGTCGCTCTTCTTTGTACATTCTCAATGATTTCAATATCCTTCTTTAGGTATGGATTCCAAACTGCATTCGCATATTCTAATTTAGGTCTCACTAGTCCATTGAACAATAGCCTAAAAGAGTCAAAGTCCCAATATTTGAAGGATCGTTTTATCATACCCAGGGTTTGATTTGCTTTATTTGCCACTATTTTGACATGTTCACTAAACTTTAAATTGCAGTCCTTATGGATTCCCAAGTCTCTTTCGCATTTTGACTTACTGATTGTCATATTATCATTATTGCTGTTATTTCGCAAGGTATAGTCACATTCTGCATTTCTCCTTCCTAAATGCAAGACTGAGCACTTGCTTGAATTAAATTTTAGCTGCCATTTATCTGTCCAGGTTTGGATGGCATCAAGGTCTTTCTGAAGGAGTTGATTTTCTGTTGGGTTTGTCACATTTCTGTAGAGCTTTGTATCATCAGCAAAGAGACTAATTTTACTTTGTTTTACCACATCAGGCATGTCGTTGATGTATATTAGGAACAAAATCGGCCCAAGCAGACTTCCCTGAGCTATACCGGACGTTACAGGCATCCATTCAGCTGATGTTCCATTTATTACTACTCTCTGCTGTCTTTGGGTTACAAAATGGCTTATCCACCTGTGTGCGATACCTCTTATTCCCATGTATTTCAACTTTAGAAGCAGTCTTTGGTGAGGTACAGAATCAAACGCTTTCGCCCAATCTAAATAGATTGTGTCTATAGCGCCCCCTATATCAATTAGTCGAGTCCATGCTTCTATAATTTCAAGTAAATTTGTTGTACAGGATCTGTTCGGTAAGAAACCATGTTGTGCTGTAGATAATAATGTGTTCTTTTTCATGTAGTTCAGTAGTTGGTGTCTTATTGTGTTTTCTAGTAGCTTGCATATGATACTTGTCAGGCTCACTGGTCTATAGTTGGTGGGGTTGGACTTGGAACCTTTTTTGAAGATGGGGGTGACATTTGCTTGCTCCAGTCTATTGGTAGATACCCATCTTTCAGAGATCTTTTAAAAATAACATATATTGGGTATGAGATAATATCTGCCAGGCCTTTTAAGATTCTTCCTTTTATCTTATCTGGACCTGTATACCTTCTTGTATACTGGCAGACACTTTTTTGTCAAAATAGGATTAGAATACACACAAGTGATTGTGAAAATGTACAATGATTAAACATGTTACTGAGAAGGTTGCCGCTGAAGTTTGAAAACACTAGCATTGACTTTCACAAATGGATGTAATTTATGATTCCTTATTTCAGGCTGCCTGGAGTTTGAAAACCAGAGCTCTGACAGAACAAGTTCTTGTTGATGAGGTTGAGAATGAAGAAGAGGGGATTGCTGAGATGCTGATGGATGATAATGCAATAGCACAGGTGGCACGTCCTGGTACATCATTAAAGAAACCAGGAACAAGCTCAAACGGACCTAGTCAGGGTGTCAGGTAAGTTTCTCACATATAAGTATAAATATCTCTCACATTTATTTCAGTCTACTATCACAAGTGTTGTCGGGATTAATCGATACATTGCGATATGCATCGCCAAAGCTGTTTCTGGCGATGCATCGATGTCTGAAACAAAACATTGATGTTTTAAAAAAAATTGCTAAAAATCTCCCTTTCTTGTCTCATTTTGACGCAAATGTCTTACCTTCTCATGTCTTAATTCATTTTCCAATGTTCTCTGATATTCTTTCGCTTTAAAACTGTTTTAGCTCGTCAAAATGAACCATTGATCTAAAAAAAATTACTTTACTTTCACTTCACTGTTACTGGATGTACCAGACTATTTATTTGTTGCGTTCAGTATTTTAGTGCACTAGCGTTTGGTATTTCAGTGCGCACTTTTCTATATATTAGACTTTTTCTCAATGTACATCGCAGTGTGTATCGATGTTTACTACTGAAAATTGCTGACACATCAATGTACGATTATGGCACATCGCGACAACACTAATTATCACAGTTTCATATCAGTGTTGTTTACTTAAACATCTTTACACATACAATATGAATTAAAAAAGCAAACACGCAAGTGGTAAATTTCAGTGTTAGAAATAAATTACTCTTGTTATATAAAAAATGTTGCCTACATGAAGATCATTTATTGCATAAATATACATTTTATCAACTTTGAAACCATTGTAGACCCATGTCACAGAGTGGTAGACCATTGAGTGGGTTTGTACGACCAGGCACCCAGGGGGGCAGACCAGGAACAATGGACCAGGCCTTGAAAACTCCCAGAACAGCATCTACAGCTAGACCTGTCACCAGTGCTTCAGGGAGATATGTTAGGCTTGGCACTGTAAGTACAAACTATTTAATTTTTATAATTGCATTACCAAAATGATGGCATATGACTTTACTGTAACCGCTGTTTTATGTGACTGGCATTCACTGTCTGCATCAGTATCATTGTCTGTAACAATTGTTACATTTTGTAGGTGGTGCCATTTTGTCATGTTAATTTTAGTCAGTATTTATTAACTGTTGTTTTGATATTGTTAGCTTATCTTTATGTGTATACCTTATACAATGAGTGAATCAGACTGTTACAACTAACATGTACTTCAAATTAACTGTGCCTTGTACCCTCATCCTATTATATTTTTACTGTGACTTTAAAGGTACCAAGAATAGACTCATAATCTTTGTATTCTGCTGACACTCAAAAACTTTATTTCTTTCTTTAAGGCGTCAATGTTATCCAACCCAGATGGTCCATTTATTAATCTTGGAAGGCTGAATTTTGGGAAGTATGCACAACGTCCAAATCTAGCCAAATCTCTATTTGAGTATATCTTACATCATGAAAATGATGTCAGAAATGTAAGTAGAAACTTAAAGTGTAATCTTTAGATTTGATTCTACCATGGTATATTATAATGAATGGATGTAATTGTGTTTGCTCTGAAACCCTGACTGGGAGTAGCAATTCTACCCTCTGAGTTTGACAAATAATTTCACTGTTAACATGCTGATAATGACCTCAAAAGTAACCCATATGGCCTTAAATAAATATAATTTGCCTGTACAGTAAAGTAAATTTCTGTTGCAACTAGCAATATGTTGACAGATACAAAACTGATAGAAGGCCATGATGTAAGTCTTGCTTCAAGACTGTGTACCCCCCCCCCCTATGTACTTCACCGTCACCAACACAACTTGTGTAATATATAAGGGGGAGGGACATCCTGGGTCTTAATTCAGGGATGAACTATTTGCTGTTGTACTTCAGGCCTTGGAACTTGCAGCTGCAGCCACTGAGGCATGTCAGTACAAGGACTGGTGGTGGAAGGTCCAGCTAGGAAAATGCTACTACAGGTACAACTGAATAGTAGAGGGGTCTTTTGGGAATCAGATAATTTCTGGTTTTTAGACCTCTAATAAGAATACATTATGTTTTAGATGTCATGACCCAAAAACGTTATTGTACAATCCTTAGGCGTTATTACAATCCTTATATCTAATGTTTTTGGATGTCATATACTTTACACCTTATCTCTTTAGACCCCCTATCGGCCTGTCTTCCATGCAGAATTTCAAAAAATCAGGGATATCATTAGACACAATAGTATGAGTTTTTGATGTTAAGCTCATAAATTATGAGTCTGATAGATTTTGTGTGACTTCTAATCGTATTTATAGAACAGCTGAACTTCAATTGCATCATTTTGAATGTAGTGCATATGTACTTGATTGATATCTTCTTTTATTTATTTTCCCCAGACTTGGAATGTACAGAGAGTCAGAAAGGCAGCTAAAATCTGCCTTGAAGGAGCAGGATGTTATAGATACCTATCTGTATTTATGTAAGAACTACAAGAGACTAGACCAGCCCCTGGCTGCAATAGAATACTACAAACAAGGCCTTGAAAAGTTCCCTGGGGAGGTGTCATTACTACTAGGGATAGCTAGAATACATGAGGTAACCCCTTCATAAGCATTATTGAAATAAGGGTTTGTGTTAATACAAAAGGCCTTGAAAAGTTCCCTGGGGAGGTGTCATTACTACTGGCATTGCTAGAATACATGAGGTAGGTACCCCCTTCATAAGCATTATTGAAATATGGGTTTGTGTTAATACAAAAGGCCTTGAAAAGTTCCCTGGGAGGTGTCATTACTACTGGCATTGCTAGAATACATGAGGTAGGTACCCCCTTCATAAGCATTATTGAAACATGGGTTTGTGTTAATGCGAATCAGTATATGAAAGGGATTTATTTTACATTGATCAATAGTAGAATGTACATCAAGGTGAGAAACAAAGAGTTGATACCCATAAACATCAACTCTTGAGGGGGGCATAATGTATACAGCAGGTTACTGTTTGGCTGACATGAGAAAAGTAAAGTTGCATGTTGAGAGAACTTGAATCTGAGCGTGTAATATTTCGACCCCAAGGATTATTGTCCCACATTGTTTTATACACTGGATCTAATTATCCTTATAACTTCATACTTAATTGGGCGAATAAAAGACTATAAAGGAATAACCAGAGATAGAAACACACACAAATAAGGTTATCAAAACGAGAGGAAAGCATGAAAAACTCGAAAATATGTAGGTTTCTTATCAGAATACTGTATAAGTGGTAATTTTGCCTAATCATTTAATTTGCCTATTGCCTAATTTTTAACAGGCTCGGAAAATTAAATGTCGGAAATATTGCCTTCATAATGTTATCCAATGGGAAGTTTCTTGTCATAAGGAAAATTAAAATTAGGAAATCCATAAAATTTGACCATTCAGCAAATTAACCACTCGGATTAAATACCACTTATACAGTATATGGATCACCCCTTGTATATATGCATAAACAGTGTAGCTTTATTTCAAAATACATGCTTTGTTTATCATTTTTTAGGCATTAAATGACAATGTAGAATCTCTGAAGATGTATAAAGAAGTCCTTCACCATGATAATATGAATGTAGAAGCAATAGCTAGTATAGCCACGAATCACTTCTATTCAGATCAGCCTGAGATAGCACTAAAGTTTTACAGGTAAGCTATCGTCTTTTGTATTTTAGATATAATTCAGTAGTTTTATGTCACCGTCATAAGTGGTGACATATTGTTATAGACTTTTTTGTGGATGGTGTTTGGTGGTTGGTGTTACACTAAAGTGGATGGTGTTTAGTGTTCAGCATCTATAACAAATGTTAAGTGGTGACATTTTGTATGTTAATGCCTTGTTTATGTTTTTGCCATAAGCAATACTTTTCAAGTTGCGATAAGAAAATGGATTGTTTCTGATCTCCTTGTCTAAGGAACACCCTTTAGAAATGCAAGGTGTACTAGGGAAAGTCAACAATATGGAACGTGTTCACATATGCAGGTTTTACTGTAAGTGAAATGGGAACCATTCCAGGAATTATTATTTTACGTAAAACAAAAAATTGTTATATTTGTTCAGCATATTGTAGACAATTCTAGACAAGGATCTGCACTTAACTGTAATATGATGTAAAATATTCAGCTGTTATTCAGTTCATGGTCAATTACCATCAAACAAATGAATTTGTTTTTGTATTAAACATTGAGGTTTTCCTATAAATGAATACCTGTCTTAAGTGCCAACAAATATTTCATCACTATCTGGGTTTAACATTGGCAGTATGTGTAGTCGTGATGAGTTCATCAATGCACTTATAGTATCATCCTTGCCAAAGTTCTGCCCAAGCTGTGCCAGAAATTGGATCAAGAGTTGACAGCCTTAATAATGTATTCATTTAATAGATAATTAAATTATCCATCTATTTATATGCTTGATAGCCCATCTGTATATCCTCTAACAATGGGTGATATTTCATAGATGTTACATCAAACATGTTACTAAACGAGTCATGTTAGAGTTATGCCTAAGTCACATTTGCTATAGCATCCGTATGGCAGCTGTAGCTTCCCAAAATCAAGAGAAATATGCAGCATAAAATATATGGATAAGTAGCATTTTTAGGCTATTTTGCAAAGCTATTCATCAACACTTATTAAAATGGTCTTCAGAATGATTGAAATGTCCCATGATACTGTGGTCTCGAAATATTGTTCCTTTTGCACTTCACATTAGCTATATGCTATCTACTTTAAAACAATCACCATGTTAATATACACAAAGTAAAGAAAAAATATTTTATTTATGTCTCTAAAATATGCCATACATAAGATGACAAATCTGTCAGGCATAGGATTGATCGGCATAACATGTTTACACAAGATTAATGTTCACTGTTGAAGCCTCTGATAATGATGCAGAGTCATCCACAACAATCTTCTGCTTAAGTTCACTATAACCAGCTGCCTTTACCTATTAATCAAATAAATAAGAAAATAATGTTAAAGTAATCCAGTTAGAATATGATGTAATTTGATGACTGTCATAGTAAAGTAGATACTGGTCAGTTATGCCATGGTCCTAGATCCTGCCGCAAACATTGTTACTTAATATATGGAATATAACACTATGAACATTAAGCATCTTTCTTAAAAACAACTCGAACAACAAATCAAACATCATTGTTTTACTAAAGTAAATGTGGCATTATTGATTCTTTTTAATGAATTCTCCTCAATATATACATATGCATTTATATTTTATTGTTTCCATGGGCTTTCAACAGATGTTTCTTAGAAAGTTAAATTACCTTAATGTTATACTTTCCCGGAAGTAGGATTCTCCAGTATTCACCCTTAGCTGTACTTGTGAATGGATGTTTTCTCTTATCTATGTAAACTTCAGCATTTGGCACTGGATTGCCCTTGGAGTCTGATATAATACCTTTAATTCCTGCAATTAAGATGAATGATATTCTAGCCTAATACTCATTATGGTCTCATTATGGTGAATATACATACAAATCTTACCTAATTTCCTGCTCTCATTTTTCCATGCCACACATATTTTATGAAGCAACAAACAGTAAGACATTTTCCTTTAATTTTAAAGTGAAAGAAATATAGCTTGTGTATGAATTATAGCATTAGATTATAACATTATGCATTTGTCTTGTATTGCAAGGCATGGTGACTTTATCTATTGTAATAATAAAATTCTCAAAGGAGAAGTACCTCTATTTATGAATTTCCAAGATTCGATTAAAGATGCCAGATTTTCATGCCACAGTTTATTCATTGTGCTATATGGTGGGTATTTACAACAATCCATCTCAATGGTGATTGCAAGTATACCATGGTTAACATAGTTGTAATCTTGCATTCCCCCTGTGAAACAGTGCTCATATTATTTAATATATTAAAGAATAGTAAATAAAGCCATCCCTGTGTTTTTATGTCATTGCCAGAACTAGTGACACATTATTATGGTCTTTAACTTTTTTGCGGCGGCGGGTGGCGTTCAGCATTCACCACCTATAACAAATGGCAGATGGTGACATTTTGCATGTTAATGCCTTGTTTTTAGTGTAGCCTATTTTGGTAGATCATAGATCAAATTGCCTGTGTTGGAAATCAAAATGACAAGTCACAGTTTGATTAGATTCCTCAAGTTGCTGTGCACATTCCCTATGTGCACATTCCCTATGTGCTAATGTATAAGGTTCTATACCTATGCTGTGTGTATCTCCCTATGTGCTAATGTATAATGTTCTATACCTATGCTGTGTGCATCTCCCTATGTGCTAATGTATAAGGTTCTATACCTATGCTGTGTGCATCTCCCTATGTGCTAATGTATAAGGTTCTATACCTATGCTGTGTGCATCTCCCTATGTGCTAATGTATAAGGTTCTATACCTATGCTGTGTGCATCTCTCTATGTGCTAATGTATAATGTTCTATACCTATGCTGTGTGCATCTCCCTATGTGCTAATGTATAAGGTTCTATACCTATGCTGTGTGCATCTCCCTATGTGCTAATGTATAAGGTTCTATACCTATGCTGTGTGCATCTCCCTATGTGCTAATGTATAAGGTTCTATACCTATGCTGTGTGCATCTCTCTATGTGCTAATGTATAATGTTCTATACCTATGCTGTGTGCATCTCCCTATGTGCTAATGTTTAAGGTTCTATACCTATGCTGTGTGCATCTCTCTATGTGTTAATGTATAAGGTTCTATACCTATGCTGTGTGCATCTCCCTATGTGCTAATGTATAAGGTTCTATACCTATGCTGTGTGCATCTCTCTATGTGCTAATGTATAATGTTCTATACCTATGCTGTGTGCATCTCCCTATGTGCTAATGTTTAAGGTTCTATACCTATGCTGTGTGCATCTCTCTATGTGCTAATGTATAAGGTTCTATACCTATGCTGTGTGCATCTCCCTATGTGCTAATGTATAAGGTTCTATACCTATGCTGTGTGCATCTCTCTATGTGCTAATGTATAATGTTCTATACCTATGCTGTGTGCATCTCCCTATGTGCTAATGTTTAAGGTTCTATACCTATGCTGTGTGCATCTCTCTATGTGCTAATGTATAAGGTTCTATACCTATGCTGTGTGCATCTCCCTATGTGCTAATGTTTAAGGTTCTATACCTATGCTGTGTGCATCTCTCTATGTGCTAATGTATAATGTTCTATACCTATGCTGTGTGCATCTCCCTATGTGCTAATGTATAATGTTCTATACCTATGCTGTGTGCATCTCCCTATGTGCTAATGTATAAGGTTCTATACCTATGCTGTGTGCATCTCCCTATGTGCTAATGTATAAGGTTCTATACCTATGCTGTGTGCATCTCCCTATGTGCTAATGTATAAGGTTCTATACCTATGCTGTGTGCATCTCCCTATGTGCTAATGTATAATGTTCTATACCTATGCTGTGTGCATCTCCCTATGTGCTAATGTTTAAGGTTCTATACCTATGCTGTGTGCATCTCTCTATGTGCTAATGTATAATGTTCTATACCTATGCTGTGTGCATCTCCCTATGTGCTAATGTTTAAGGTTCTATACCTATGCTGTGTGCATCTCTCTATGTGCTAATGTATAATGTTCTATACCTATGCTGTGTGCATCTCCCTATGTGCTAATGTTTAAGGTTCTATACCTATGCTGTGTGCATCTCTCTATGTGCTAATGTATAAGGTTCTATACCTATGCTGTGTGCATCTCTCTATGTGCTAATGTATAAGGTTCTATACCTATGCTGTGTGCATCTCCCTATGTGCTAATGTATAAGGTTCTATACCTCCAATGTAGAACCAGTCTGCACCATTCGTGATCCCATCAATAAAGGTCGATCCGCATGACAAATTACGCAGCATCCTCCCAGCATACATTTGTCCATGGTTGTATGAGTAAGTTAGAGCCATCTTGCGAAAGATATCATCATCAGGGGATTTGTTGTAATGGTACATCTTTTTGTCTTCTACTCTGTCACATTTACGGGTACGTTCTGTAATCATACATGGTTTCATAATATACCATGATACTAATAAAAAAAACTGATGACTATCAGAGGTACACTTGTATGATGACTGTTGATTCCCTTTCAATTAAATCAAATGTAAAAACCTTTCTTTCGGAATGAATTGATCAACAACAAAACAGCTCACAGGTTCCAAATTGAACATTATAGGTTTCCAAGCTTTTGGGATAGCAGAAAAAGCTTTACATGGATATCAAAGTGCAAGATGCATACCATTATTTATTAACGTGTTTAATGATGTTAAATTACAGATGTTGGCCTTCTTAGTGAACAACTCCTCCTATATGTCAATTAACTACAAGAAAACTGTAAAGTGGAACACTTCCATAATATAAGTGGAATGCTTTTCAAGTCCTGCAACCTATTGCCTTATTGTTAAATGAACCTCTGTTAATGGAACAACTCCCAAGTGGAACTCCACATACACAGGTTTTATTGTATTTTTGTTAAATACTATGACATACAGCCTAGTTATGTAGAAGTCTAAATAAGTGCATGAAAAATAAATGTTTCCTACTGTTGTCATATGGATAGCTGGCCACCAAAGCCCCTCCATGAAATGATAAAGACATTACAAATGGAAAATCTTCCAGCCATTTCTTTACTGCAAATGTCTCTTTTGCAGGTTTAGGATTGTAATGCTTTTTGAAGAACTCTGGCCCAAAATTCCGATTGAGATCCAGAATCTTTGGTTCAGTAGTGTATCTATAAGAAGACAGGTTACAGGTTTAATCTTGAATCTGGCAACGTTATTTTCATATTAATTGGGTGATGGATTATTTGACCTTCATAGTATTTGAAATATACGGTTGTGATAAAATGAAACAAGGTTCCCTATAAACATATAAATATCAAGTCAAATCTTTTAAATCTTAATCTTTTAAAGTATTTCTCAACTTCAAATAGAGAGGGATGGGTTGTCATGGAGAAGCAATATTTAGATTATTCTTTCATCAATGTTTCACTTAAATGAATACCTTCCATATTTGCCTCTACATATATCCTTAGTAATACCACCTCTAGAGTTATTTTCATGAGCCATGGAGTAACCATCTGGATTTAACATTGGCAGTATGTGTAGTCGTGATGAGTTCATCAATGCGGTTATAGTATCATCCTTGCCAAAGTTCTGCCCAAGATGTGCCAGGAATCGGATCAAGAGTTGTCCACCAACTGGCTTAAATGAAAATATTACCAAAGAGCATTGTAATATTAAGTTGAATTGTATGATGACAATGGCCTGCAGTATCACAAACTAGAAACTGTCGATGGGCCATGTCACAAGGAAACCAGTCTCAACTATGCAAAATTGAAAATCTGGGAGGAAATGCTGCATTGAATTCTAAATTTACTGCCAATTCTCAAAGTATTGCCACTTTATGAAGTTTTAGACTAATTATTGAGATGGAGTTTATTGCAAAGAGAGTTTTTAGTTAAAAAATGAAAATTATATGATATGATAAGACCAGATACTCTTACCTCATTACCATGTATTCCCCCAACATACTTTAACTCTGGTCTCAACAACACATGCTCATCTGGTTTGTTGGCACTAACAGCCATTACCCAGATTTCCCTCCCCTCTCCTGATTTGCCAATAGAGTACATAGACATCTGGGAAGGGTACTTCTCTGTCAAATTCTTCATTATGCCTACCATATCATCATAACTTATATATGTTTGAAGATTTCTTATTGATCTCATAATATTGGTATCTCTGGATTTGTCTAAAAGAAAATTGCTGAAATCAACTTATTACATGCATATTATTTAACAGAAAGAGTGATCAATACAATTATCATTTTGATGTCACCACAACAAGTGGTGACATGTCAGTGTCTGTAACAGATTTCAGGTGGTGACATTTTGCATGTAATGCCTTGTTATTCTCATGTGAATCATGAAGTAAATATTACTCATATAGACATAGAATATTACGTTTGAAATATATCATATTTATTTTTCGACATAAATCGCCAAGATGAAATAATGTTGATTTCAAAGCGGATCATTTGCCCATTAGCTATGGTTTAAAAGAACAGGTACATGGTTGACAATGACGCTTTGTACGCATATCTATCAGGTGCATTAATTTATCATATTGACATATCATCAAAAATTTATTACCTTTAATTTCTGTAATTTCTGAAAGAGTTGATTGCAGTATCTCAATATTTAAAACTGTATCTTCTAGACGTTGATGAGTTACATTCTTCATTAAGTCATCAAACAGGCAATAGAGTGTTGTAAAGTGACTTCTCAAACTACAATTCGCAGGGTAAACTTTTATCAGGTTCAAGATGATCTGCTTCCCTGAATCTGCTAATTTCAAAAATGCTTCACTCTCAGATGCATCCTTGTCCTTTGTAATAAACTCTTTTAATACAATTCCAGTAGCTGTTTTAAATTTATTAATCACTGTGTTGATATCCTGCAAAGCCTTAATTTCTTTCTCTGTTTTGAAACATGATTCTACATCAAGCTCTGTCAGTGTGGCTACTTCTAATGAACTTTTAGAAACCATAAAAAAATAGACTATGATTGCGACTTGTTTGAAACTCATGACTTTCTGTGTTAAAGCAAAATCTTCCACTGCATTTCAGAACCAAGAATAACCATTAAGCATATAATACATACATGACATAAACATGACTAGAAATGTCATGGTTAATGAAACAGGCGCCTTTGAACCCTTTAAAAATGATTCACTTAAAATGCTACACAATCATATCATGCATAATATACTTTAAAGCTAATATAAATGTTAAATATATCAGTTATAACATGAATCTAACCTGCAGTCCCATAACACTTTTTAGTGATAATGATTTTATATTTTTCAAAATATATAAAAATAGAATTTGTTGTAATGTCTAGGAACACCATTTTATGATGTACCATCATAAGAAAAATCACCATGGCAATTAATGTAAACATCCATTAGATCGCATCTTTTTATATACTTTGCTTTCCTTTGATCAACTTAAAAACATCCTAGAGACTTATTAAGTCAATCGTATGAATTTTTAAAAGATATCTTATGTAAAAGAAATTAATTGTCTCACAAGATGAGTTTGTTTAATGAAACCTTATTCTTAACGATGATCTTCATTTTTATTTGCAAATTAATTTAAAATGGTAATGACACAAAACATAACAAATGGCAGTTTTATTTAGGACTTTCCAGGGACCATCAAATGCAATGAAAACACATTTTCAGCAGTTGTTTCATTTAGAATCATAATGTCAAAAGTGGCAACATATTGTTATAGTCTCCAACTTTTTGTGGAATGTTGGTCTTTGGTATTCAGCAGTTGGTGTCTGTAACAAATGCCAGGTGGTGATATTTTGCATGTTAATGCCTTGTTATAGTTATTACACTTATTACAAGCTGTATTTCTCCTTGTCTACTTTAAGACAAAAGCCAGTTAACATACACAGATGTAAATAGAAAATATTTTATTTATGTCTCTACTATTAACAATACATAAAAAAGGACAAATCTGATAGATATAGGATTGAGAGGTATCACTTGCTTACACAAGAGTAATGTTAACTGTTGTAGCCTCTGATAATATGGAATCACCTACTAGTATCTCCTGCTCGAAGTCATTATAACCATCTGCCTTAACCTGTTAAACAAATAAATTACAATACAGAATGCTGAAATAATACAGTAAAAAGAGAAACATGTTATATACAGTACTTGTATATTGTCCCACGTCTTTTCTTCTTCTGAAGTAGTCCTATGATAAGATATGAATAATGTACAGTGTAATAGGAATTCACAATAAAGCAGATACTTGGTTTTTATTGTCATGCTGTGATCATTATTACTTAACTTATAAAAGATTACCTTGTATAAATATTTAGCATCCTTCTTGAAAACAATGTGGTAAATTGAACATCATTTTTTACTCACATTAAGTGAAAGCAAGCAGGTGGCAGTATTGTGTAGAGTCTTTTTAATAATCTCTATTCTCTGTTTTAAACATAAGTATAAATTATTTTATCATCCCCTGAAGAATAATCTCACCCTAATGGTAAATGTTCCTGGAAGTAGGATTCTCCAGTATTCACCCTCAGCTGTACTTGTGAATGGATGTTTTCTCTTATTTATGTAAACCTTAGCATTCGGCACTGGATTGCCCTTTGAGTCTGATATAATACCTTTAATTCCTGTAATATAAATGGATGTTTTCTCTTATCTATGTAAACTTTAGCATTTGGCACTGGATTGCCCTTGGAGTCTGATATAATACCTTTAATTCCTGTAATATAGATGGATGTTTTCACTAATCTATGTAACTTTGGCACTATAACTCCTTTATCCAAGCAATATAAAAATAATTGAAAAAATTAAATAATTAGGATTCCGTTAAAAGAGGTGGTAGGAAAATCAAAGGTATTGGTCAATAAAAAGTATCTGTGTAAAAAAGCATCCATTACTTATTGATCACTCCTCTTATTTCACCTCATGATATTATGAACATACCCCATTGTTCTTTGAGGTGGTACATTTGACATCTATCCAATTTAATAATAAGAGGAATACCTTTGTTTATGAATTTCCAAGAGTTGATTAAAGATGCCAGATTTTCATGCCACAGGTGATCCATCATGCTGTATTTTGGGAATTTACAACATTCCATTTCTATGGTAATGGCAGTGATGCCATAGTTGACATAGTTGTAATCTTGCATTCCACCTGTAAAACCAAATGTATAATGCCACCCTATGTACATGTACATAGCTCGCTTGAAATTACATTGTCATAATGCGAGACTCAGCATACAAAACATTTCTAATTTCCTGCTGAATGTTGAGTCTCGCATCATGTTAATGTAATTTCAAATGATATGTTGCTAGGGTGAATGTATTATGTTTGTATTTAAAGGTGGTATATAGATAGGAAAGGACTACCTTTCATTGCCTGATTTCAGTACATTGCTGTATGTACATACTGTGTATATTATTGTAATTATTTGATATTTTTGTGTTAATGGACGTATGACCTCATTTGATAGACTCCTGTAATTTGATATACCTTGTATATAGTACCACTCTGCACCATTTGTAATCCCATCAACAAAGTTTTTGGTGCAGAATAAACTAGTCATATATTTCCCAGCATACATTCTACCATGGCTGTAGGAATATGTTAGAGCCATCTGCTTGAAGATATCATCATCAGGGGATTTGCTGTACTTGTATGTGCCACCTGATTTCTTTTTACGTATACGCTCTATAAGTACAGAACTTGTATTATCGCATGCATTGGCATGGACTACAATGGTAGAATGGTATAAATCTATATTGAAACCAAACTATGCAAAACTAGCCTTTACAAAGCCTATTGATCAGACATTTTCCTATAAAACTCATATTGGTTTGGGATGTGTCAAAATCAGTGAAATATATCAATTCTCTTATTTGACATTTCCAAAGATGAGGCTGTCACTAATAAACAAAAAGTTTTATTTAAATACCACAGAGACATTGAGAACCAAACTGGTACAGTGGTACATTTCTATATTTTACTGGAATGTTAAACAGTGCCATAAAAATATATAAAAACGAGTACACAAGAAAGTAACCTCACTATTATCATATGGATAGCTAGCAACCAAGTATCCTCCATGAAATGATAAAGACATTACAAATGGGAAATCCTTCAGCCATTTCTTTACTGCAAGTGTTTCGTTTGCAGGTTTTGGGTTGTATTTCTTTTTAAAATAGTCAGGCCCAAAATTTCTATTCAGATCAACTGCTGGTTTAGTTGAGTGTCTATAATGAAACAGTATAATGAAATAGCATATTTAAGTGAGTATGCAAAATAAGTCCATATGGAAAGTCAACACCACTTTGGCTTATATTCTGTTGATATGTGAAACTTACATTTTTGTCTAAAATTTTTGAATTTCTGCTTTTTCTATCCAAGGATTATAGAAATCTTCTTTTAAAGGTCATCTTTTTGAAGAATGTCTCAAATGACTTTTATGTTCCCTCCCCCCTAACTCTATGTTTCCCACAAATCTAGAAATTCATCCGACACGTTCATTCCACTGGCATTCAGCTGACACATAAAACTAAGAAGTGATTAGAATAACAAGACATTAGGCAAAATAGTGATTTTAAATTCCATTCAATATTCATGTACCTTCCTTCATCACCTAAGCACACTAACACACTATCACCACCTGCGGGGTATTTTCCATAAGCCATCGAGTAACCATCTGGGTTTAGCATTGGCAGTATGTGTAGTCGTGATGTGTTCATCAATGCAGTTATAATATCATCCTTGCCAAAGTTCTGCCCAAGATGCGCCAGGAATCGGATCAAGAGTTGTCCACCAACAGGCTAAATAGAGAAATACAGGGTGACGCAAAAATCCAACCCTCTGATTTTGGAATATCCTAGATTGCCTTGCTTTAGTTGTTTAGGGAATGAGTTGTTTAGGGAATGAGTTGTCTAGGTGTTGAATTGTCTAAGGGATGAGTTGTCCAGAGAATGAGTTGTCTAGGTGTTGAATTGTCTTAGAGTTGAGTTGTCCAGAGAATGATTTGTCTATAGAGGTTGAATTGTCTTAGGGTTGAGTTATCTAAGGGATGAGTTGTCCAGAGAATGATTTGTCTATAGAGGTTGAATTGTCTTAGGGTTGAGTTATCTAAGGGATGAGTTGTCCAGAGAATGATTTGTCTAGAGGTTGAATAACGTAGATGCGAGTAGGTAGTTACCAGATTCACCACCAGGTGGCTCGTTCGGGTCAGATAGCCAGTGGAGATGGGCTCGATTGCCGTATCATACTGCATTTGAACGGCGATACGGCAATTGCCGTATAGAACGTCATTATTTGTAATGACGGTTATCTTTTAAAAATCTAAACAATTCCGGACTTCAAATTCATATTAAATCATATAACATCCATAGTAAGTACAATTTTAAAGTATTTTCCATAATAAGGGGGTTTAAATTTAATGACATGAAATATTTTGTCCTAGATATCGTTTATTTCTACTCCAGTGCACAAGGGCCGATTACAACCTGAAATCCCTGAAATTGTGAAATTGCAACAGACCCTCCTTGTACTTAATTTCGGCAATATTAAATAAAGAGATGGCATGAATTTTTTTATTGATATTAGAAGAACATATATAAAATAAACTTTTCCTCGCGTGCATTTAAATTCTGCCGTGTGCAATTACTCCCGTGGGTTCTCAAAGTTTCACTTATTTTAGGCAAAAGACAAAAACGTACTTTGGGGGTTAAGGTGCTCTTCAGACATTCCAGAGGCGAGAATAACATGAAACCAGACAGGTTTTCATTTTAATTTTATCGTTTTTATAAATAACATCGTCTTCCTGCATGCATTTTGGGTTTGATTCATCCTTTACACTGACGTTTTAGGTATAAAAGTCTCGGCTTTAAGTCATTACTAGATCGCGTTCAAAGTACTAAGTACCGTTCGCATTACCATTGTTCTCAGACGGACAATGCTGCCTGGATAATTTCGTCCAGCAACCAATTCGCCCAGAAACAAAACCAAGAGACGTATGTAGCAAGTGCCATTTCTAGAAACTCGGTTTAGAGTCGGGAAAGTGACTTGAGAATGCAGGAAAACTGACCAATCAGAATGCCCGATTCCTCAGTATTTCTCAAGTGAATCTTCGGTTATGGAGAAACTTTTTCACGCTCGAATTCCACCTATCTGTTGCACATGATACAATCGGGAAGCTGGTTTTGTCAGCTTCACTATGACATTATGCTTTTAGAAATCGACCGAGAAATGGCGGAGAAAAAGACCGAAAAGTGTCATTTCTAAAACGGCGACTTTGGAGAGCTAAAGTGGATTGAGACTGCTAGAAAGCCAGCCAATCAGAACGCAGGATTTCTTATGTGAAACTTGGAATTCGAGAAATTGCATTTACCTTCTATTTCCTCAGTTTTCTCGCAATTTGGTCACTACAAAGTGGAACCATCAGGAAGCTTTAGTTCCGAGCATAACCATGGTCTTATTTATTTCGAACTCTGTCAACTAATAGCAGAGTTATAGACTAATAAATGCCATTTTTTAAACAGCCAGTTTAGAGCCAGAAAGTGGATTCAGACTGCAACAACATTATGCAAATTAGCTAGACGTATCTAGGTTAGTAGCACACGTATGTGGGTTAGTAGGTTTGCTCTGTCAAGGCCGCGCATGTATCGATATATAAGCAGATCTCGGCCGTTTCAGCATACTTCATACAGGTATGAATCGTTACGTGTACTGTCACGGAATCCACGCAGATTGAAAAATGTTGATACATATTTGATCATTTCCATTTACTAGTATTAAGCCTCAATTCGTAATTATATTACAGCGGAAATATTACATTTTGCGTCTGAAAACCTACTTACTTCAACCTGAGACTAACATAAACAGATAAAAGGAATTTTAAACTTTATCCGAGAGTTGTATCTCCCGTGTCGCGCCACCCGCAATTAGATATGTATAGTCTCAGCTTCAACATAGGAGGAGGAAAGACATGTACATCATACAAACTTCATTCAAATACGTACAGTAATAAACTCATAATTATAAAGAAATTCTTGAAACCTTTATTGCAATTGCAAATGCGCAAAGAAGACTTTATTTCATGTATTTAGTTCCGTAATACTTGTCAAACTATATGCCTTCATGCACATTAGACTGCCAAGAACGTTTTTATAGCGATCTACCACGGGCAATAGATCTACTACTAAGTTTTGTTTTTTCGTGGATAATGACAAATATTCTACCATTTCCCTTTCCTTCCCATTTCCCAAGGAAAAATCTTTTTAACTGAATCTTTCACAGATTTCATATCGCAAATAATCGACAATGTTTTGATTAAATATACTGGCCATACTAACCGACTAATAATTGATATATCTTGTTGATACTAGGTTCAGTCTATTTTCGTAATTAAAAATCAGTGATTTAAATGCTAAACCTAATTTTGAATATGTTTATCCAAAGTAAGATCGGTTGTCTCAGTACGTTTGAGATATCAAACATCATACTTTCAAGAGGAGAATTTCAAAGATCGGCGTTTCAGTGTTAAGCGCAGTATTGATTATATTTAAGTATTGCACTACGCTGGAGCCTAGAAAGTATAAAAATGACTTTTTAATTTAAACCAGCGTAAAATTGAATTTCGAATTATAATATTTGCTTGAGTCGTGTTAATAGACCTTCCAGGGCTGTTGTATTTGGGCGATAATAAAAAATAAACACTCAAAACACTCAAAGGTCGTCCCTGGTATGCTAAAGTTTGCCACCGTAGCCTCAAAACTGTTAACAATTCCATTAAGTAATGATGAAAACCTGTGTGAGCACTGTGGCCTGCTAACTCCGGATTCGGTTTCACATGGACTGTTGGATTGTTCCAAAACTGAGGATGCTCGCAATGAAATGCTACACAACTTAAACGATGTCTTGAACCGTAACAGAATTGGGCTTAAGATAGAGTCGTTCAAAAAGGATTTTCGAGAAAACCCCTTTTGCGTGTCAGTGAAAGGCCTCTCCAGCTTATGTTTTACAGACAATTCAAAAGTCTTGGCAATTCTACTACCTTTCTTGTGTACTGTTGTAGAACTTTTAAATATTGATCTTACCACTCCATTTTAGAGTGATGCAAATATTTTTTAGAAATGTGACTTTCCACCACTGTTTGTGATTTTTTAATAGATACTTTATTACTTGTCATTGACATTTTAGATGTGGATTGTTTTTGTTGTTTTGTGTGTTTTTTGTTATTGTCTTAAATCTTTAGATGTGTTTTGTGTCGTTGTTTTTGGTTAATTTTCACTGTTGTGTTAAATGTTTAAATTTTTGTACTCCATGCTAAATGGGAAATAAAGAAATATATATATATATATATAAAATTGACGCACGATACGGCAATTGCCGTATTATGCTTTAATAGCGCTGAATTGCTAGACATGCGCATTTGGAATTAAAATAAGACGATACGGCAATTGCCGTATCGTCGTTCAATTGCAATATGATACGGCAATTGAGCCCATCGTCTCCACTGATAACATGGCGGGTGTAGTAGAAAGTTCCCTTTAACTTAAATTACAATTATTTGTGTGGTTCAATTTTCATATAACCCTTATGTATCTAATAGTTATGCAAATTAAAATATGTCCAGTAAAAGAAATTGTTATCTGTCCAATACAAGAAAAGATAATTCACTTTTTGTGATTTTGTAACATGGGGTCTATGGGGAATCAACCCGAACAAGAAGTCATTTTCAAAAAAATTAAATTTTCAAAGTTGATAGACAATTTCGAAACCATATTTTAGATGTACTTTTACATGCAGATTTCAAATATGACATCACTTTGACTGGATTTTGAATATTTAATGACGTAAATCAAGATTATTTCTACTCGCATCTAGTCTATTGTCTTAGGGTTGAGTTATCTAAGGGATGAGTTGTCCAGAGAATGATTTGTCTAGAGATTGAATTGTCTTAGGGTTGAGTTATCTAAGTGATGAGTTGTCCAGAGAATGATTTGTCTAGAGGTTGAATTGTCTTAGGGTTGAGTTATCTAAGGGATGAGTTGTCCAGAGAATGATTTGTCTAGAGGTTGAATTGTCTTAGGGTTGAGTTATCTAAGGGATGAGTTGTCCAGAGAATGATTTGTCTATAGAGGTTGAATTGTCTTAGGGTTGAGTTGTTTAGGGTTGAGTTGTCTGGTTACCTATACCTATGTAGGTATCAGTCTCACCACTAGGTGTGTAACTGGGGTCATATAACATGGCATGCATATAAACAATTAATAGATTTTGTAGGTCAGAATCCATCTAACTTTTTGAGTTTGATAATGAAACACTTTAGTAGTAAATTGTGTTTAGGAGTTCCATTAAATGTATCTGCTGAATCGTGGACTTTCTCTTGAAACCCCATATGGTTCAACATTGTGTTTATTTTATGTTTCATTTCATAAAGTAAAGTGTCTCCTTATAAAGAGCATGCACATATTAAATGTAATAACATATACCCATATTTACAACAATCAAGATAATAAATGTAGTTCATTGCAAATAAACTACAACTGTTAACAATAATTTCATTCTCTTTCATGAGTAGATGATAAAACTGATAAGCAAGAACAATAACCTTGGAACCTACAACTTCTAAAAAATTACAATTAGTTGTTTGCAAATTATTTTAGAACTTGCTGAAAAAGTGAATTGAAGACTGATTTATGGTCTTACCTCATTACCATGTATTCCCCCAACATATTTCAACTCTGGTCTCAACAACACATGCTCATCTGGTTTGTTGGCACTAACAGCCATTACCCAGATTTCCCTCCCCTCTCCTGATTTGCCAATAGAGTACATAGACATCTGGGAAGGGTACTCCTCTGTCAAATCTTTCATTATGTCTACCATATCATCATAACTTATATAAGTTTGGCGATTTCTTATTGATTTCATAATAGTGGAATCTCTGGACTGGTCTAAAAAGTAAAATAACTCAATGGAATATTATCAATCATCATACAAAATGCAGCAATGCCTTTAAAAAATTTAAAAGCAATCATTATTATGTATGATAGTAAAATTCAAATGTAGCACATGAGATAATATATTCAAACCTGTGTAAGTGGAACAATCAGTCATGGGACTCTGAATAGTGTTCCACATAAAGAGGTGTTCCACTTTACTGGTCTTACTGTTATGTTGAAGGTTTGTTTAAAGGAACAAGATTGAGAAATATTAAGGATTGTATAGTGTAACCTATTATATATTGCACTTTGAAATATAAATTAAAAAAGAAACAATTAATTGATGTTAATGCTGACTCTTAAAGCAAACCCTGTGAACATTTAAATAAATAACTCCCTGTCCTCTCTCCAGGGAACAAAATACAACTCACCATTTATTTCACTTATTTGCACAACCGTTGATTGCAAAATGGCTATATTCATCACCAAATCATAAATACTTAAATCATCCAATTTCTCTGAGAGGTACGTTAAGTGTTCTTTAAGAACACACTCATTGGGAATATCACTTATTACATCCAAGATGAGATGCTGAAGTGGATCTGCTGAATTTCCCTCTTTCTTTGCGTCTCTTATTTTGTTTCCAGCAAATATTTTTAATTTGTTAACCACACTGTTGATATCCTGTAAAGCCGTAATTTCTTTCCCAGCTGTACGACATAATTGCACATTGGCACTCAGGGCGGCTATTTCATATGGTTTTTCAAATAATGTCAGAAATGAAACTAAGATGAATGCCCGTTTGAAAACCATGTCTACCTTTTTTAATGAAGCATCCACTCTGAAATTAATAAGCTTATCATTTGTTCTTGTTGTTCATTTGTTCATGTTATAGCAAGAATTAATACAAAAAGGAAAATATTATCAGATAACTATTTTCTATCATTAAGTTATTGTTATTTCATGCAACCACAATTGATATTAGATTATTGGAACAGCTGATATAAGCATGCCTATTGGATGATTTTTTGTCCTTGTTTTCATATCACCCATATTAAAAGCTACCTATGTCAATGTTTTCTTGTCATACATGTATTGGTTGTGGTAGCGTGCCTGAGCATCCCAAATTCTTGTTTAAGTATTTACCACTGGTCTTTTTGAGGTATTGGTTTGAAATGTTTGGGGATGTTTCTGGATATGAAACCTTCGAACTGATTTTGATAGGTGATCATTTTAGATTTTTCATCCTGAGATCTTTTTTATTTCTGTCGTATGATTCCAAGAAAACTGCTAGCCTAACTGGATAAGCTTCAAACTTTTACAAATTGTTATCAATAAATGATAATTATGGATAATTTAAAAAACATTTTTTCCAATTTTTTTGTAGGGTGTTCAAAGAAATGAGACTTTCTCACTATTCATTAATAATGATTTTTAGCTCACATGTACATATAAGCTGATGTAATTGTTCACTCTCTAAGTGTTGATGTTAAAATAGACAGAAGAATCGTTTCAAGGAAAAATATTTTTTTTACTCTTTGTCATACATGGCCTTTAATAGAATATACAATTACATGTACCGTTATTATTTTCATTCAATGCCTTTAGATCAGGTGATACTAATTTCCTCAGTATGATATAAAGGGATGGATAAAAATCTTTCTAATGATTTTTATGCAAAGATAGTGTTCATATTGAAATTATTTAATTTGTATGGTAATTGGATTGCAATCATTTCATATCTACAAAGATATCCCTTATTACATAAGTTCACAATTTATAGAAAAATCTGTTCAGTGTATCACATAGCAAGCAGTAAAATACAAAAAAAATTTAAAATGAGAGCTAACAATAGGCAATACAGGATTTTAACGTTTCAATTCATTTCAGCGGTGAAACATGATCTAAATCCCAAATAGCCCACCCTACAATAAAGCAGAAATATATTTTCACTAAAAATATTTTGTCAGTAATTCATTGTTTTGAGCCTTAATTTCACCTCAAAGTCAGTTTCATATCACTCATGAAGGATGTAATGATGTAATTGAATTGATATTATGAATTATGATACAAACGCATCTAGTTATTTTTTGTCTATTATGAGTCTATTATTATATTGTTGATATGATTATGGAGTCTGATTTTATTATGGAGTCTGATTTTGTTACACCTATGGTAATGCATGCCTCAAATATACTTTCAGACGGTTGTTACAGATGGGAGTTTACAATTCTGAGCTGTTTACAAACCTTGGACTTTGTTGTTTCTATGCTCAACAATATGACATGACTCTTACATGCTTTGAACGTGCACTCACCATGGCAACGGATGAAAATGCTGCTGATATTTGGTATAATGTTGGCCATGTTGCTCTTGTAAGTGGATTTTATTATTTATTTGAAACATCATGTTGTCAAATAAATGCAACAGGATAATGGCAATTAGTTCTTGAAACCTTTGTTGTTCAAACTATATGTTTGAATTCATGCCGTAAAATAATATATCAAGAGATAAAATAATAGTTTGGTGTGGGATATCACTTTTTCTTGCAAATGTGACAGTGTTGTCCAGGTTAGTATTGAGAACGGTGAGTTCCTTTGATATATAAGACTGAGTATGGGCTTCTTATGAAAGCTAGTACTTCATACAAAACATGATCAGTATACGTATAATGCTCCTCATACATATTTCCTACAGGATAAATCCCATATCTATGACTTTCTATTATGTATTCGTTATGTTAATTCCAGGGCATTGGTGATATGAACTTGGCCTACCAGTGCTTTAGACTTGCAATAAGTGCTTCAAATGATCACCCTGAAGCCTACAATAACCTAGGAGTGTTAGAGCTCAGGAAAGGACATATAGAACAAGTTAGTACTCAGTTTCATAAAACTTTTCATTACATTTTTACGGTATGGTTGATTGATTCTTTTGTTTACTTGTGAAGTTTAGAAATGCAACAAACGTACAATGTAAACAATCCCTAGCTTAGCTTTTTAATAAAAGTGTTGCATCAAGCCTGTGTTACACAAAACTGTCATTTTATTGTACAATATAAGTGACTGCATATACTTTGCTTCTGTTATTTAAATGTTACACATACAAATATCCTAAGCACTGATTTCAAAAAAGAGTCGGCACAAAAAATCAGTATAAAAATGGGTGCTTATCAATTTACACTAGGTCAGTATATATTGATCAGTAGTCAGACCCAGAATATCTCAGCATTTCATTTAGTGATGTCTTCAAAGAACAAACATTTTTCTGTTTTAGGCAAGAGCTTTCTTCCAGTCTGCCCAGTCAATGGCCCCACATATGTTTGAACCTCACTATAACTTTGCACAGCTTTCTGATAAGGTAAGTACACAATGTAATCTTTAATAAATGCAAATTTCCAGAGAAAGTCTGTCATTGCTTTCTTTTGAGGAAGCAAAATTGGAAGGGCCAGCTACCCTTGCCTTCAGCCCTTGTAGTGTTCCCCTTTCTATTTCTAACATAGGACTGTGAAACAGATTATCCATGGTTAAATTACTTTTCTATTTATTCAAAGATGTCTCTGATTAAACACTGCTTCAATCTGCTTTCATCAGTTTTTCAGGGGATTTGCAAAATTTGATCAAGCATTTGTTTTTCAACAAGACGCAGGTTAAACTTCACAAAATGCCTGTTGAAAGCTACAATATCCTAAAGGCATCATACTCGCTTACCAGTTTGATATCTTCATACCTTGGTAATCTAAGATAAAAGGCATGGAATAGTTGATTAAAAAGTGAACCACCAAATACATGTAGATGTACAGCTGGTATTCCTTGCTATGTCAATATATGTAGATGTACAGCTGGTATTCCTTGCTATGTCAATACATGTAGATGTACAGCTGGTATTCCTTGCTATGTCAATACATGTAGATGTACAGCTGGTATTCCTTGCTATGTCAATACATGTAGATGTACAGCTGGTATTCCTTGCTATGTCAATACATGTAGATGTACAGCTGGTATTCCTTGCTATGTCAATACATGTAGATGTACAGCTGGTATTCCTTGCTATGTCAATACATGTAGATGTACAGCTAGTATTCCTTGCTATGTCAATACATGTAGATGTACAGCTTGTATTCCTTGCTATGTCAATACATGTAGATGTACAGCTAGTATTCCTTGCTATGTCAATACATGTAGATGTACAGCTGGTATTCCTTGCTATGTCAATACATGTAGAGCACAATGTTTCAATCAGCATCCATTCATGTCTTAATTGAAGTGCTTTGTAAAGACCTAAATCAATACAATTTTTTTCTATGTCCATGACATCTACTAATTATACCTTTACTGACTTTGAATCGAGCCTCATGTTTGCGTAATAATCAATTAATCTATATTTCACCATCAATTATACTGATTTTAGTTCGTAATGTTAGGTGAGCAAGAACCTCATGTTGAATTTATTACTAATCATGTTGTAATACCATAAAAACATCTGATGTATCGGTTTTGTATTGTTATATGATTATAGTGCACACATGCCCGTAGCCAGCTTTTGCCAAGGAGGGTTCATTTTTCAAAAAATTCCAGATGGGTTCTCATTGGACAACTTTGGCCCAAAATCAGAATGGTGAAAACCACATGATTTTGAAAGGGTTTTTGGCCAGGGGAAGGTTCACTCTATGGGCCTGTGTGCATGTACTTGTAGTTTTAAAATGATGCCCTTTGGTTGTGTCTCAACATTATAATTAGTGATTTAAATTTGTTAAATGCCACATGATGGAAGTACATGGAAGTTGCTCTAATTTATTTTTATGGCATTTTTTCTTTGGAGATGGCATGGTCATTTAATATATATAAATCATTGGCTCCTTTTCCATTTATTTTATTCTGAGGCAGCATCTTCATTTCTTGTTTCTTGTTCGTGCATGTTTTTTAATCATATTTATATGTAATGTATATTTTATACATTCCAGGTTGGTGATTTACAAAGCAGCTACAATGCTGTTAACAAAGCAAAGGAGGCATTCCCAGACCATGCAGACTCTAAAGACCTATTTAAACAGCTTAAACATCACTTTGCAATGCTCTGAGCATCATGGGAATTGCCACCTCTTATTTCCACCTCATAGATGTGAATCTTGGAATATATTCAAAATGTATTTTCTGGATGAATTATTGGAGGTTCAGGAGATATAATGCCCAGTCACTATAGTACATTATAGGACGCATTATTGCATCATATCTTCACACGTTCGGTCTTCACTGTGACTGAAGGGGAGCTGAGCGAACAAAGATGATCACATCAGTCAGTCCCTACATATGTACATAAAATGCCCACTATTTACCATTTTGGTGTAAAAAGGTGTAGACAGTGTTAAGAGTTGACCTCTATGTTCTGCATATTGGAGATGTACCATTTACTTCAGTGATGCAATATTTTTTCTGTTTGCATCTGTGTATTACTCTGAACCAATACTCCAGCCCCTGTATAGCTGTTGATGAAGTAATAGAACACAGATACTAGTTTTCTGCATGAAAAAAAGCAAATTCTGCAAGGAGAAAATCGAAATTCTGCACAAATTTTCAAAAAAAGTCCAAATTCTGCAATCTTTTAAAACGATGAAAATTGACGTAAAACGGAAACGGAAGTTAGCTACTTTCTAGGTAAGAACTGCGCGTCATTAGCAAACTCGCTTCAGCGAATTTAAACGTGATAGAATGTTGAATTTCACGGTGAAATCGTACTTGTACTCAATAATGATTGATTGTTGGACATAAACAGACACTCTTCACTTCAAATACCCCGCAAAAGGTAGGAGATCGTAAAATATGTAATTTCTGGAAATTCTGGTAATTCCGCGGGATTTTCATGAAAATCAGGGATTCTGCAAAAAATTGAAGTTTTGTCGAATTCTGTCCACGCCGCGGAATTACGGAATACTAGTATCTATGATAGAAGAAAGCAGCAATATGAATGTAAATACTCAATGATGAAGATAGCTTCAATATGTCCACAGAGATGAACATAGTAAAGAATATAAGTAGCCCAAGAGAATACCGACCTGGAGACAATACTCATCTTGATAAAAGGATATATCATCAGTGTGAATGAAATATATGCACTGGTTGAACAGAATTGACAATTCTACTGTAGAACTGACGGCATTACATGTTTGACCTAATATTGTATGAGTAATGTTAATGTCCTGGTTTGTTCCTGATGTTAAAATATGTCATAAATATGCCTCTTCATGGACTCATTCTAATGTTTGCACTTTGATTTATCTTCATTTGCCAAAATTGTGACCTCAAATGGCAGATTTAACTTGATCAACATTTTTACTTTGTTTGATTCTACATTTTTATTAAGTCAAATAATGAAATGGTATTTACTCTATAGTAAAACACAAAAGATCAAAAAGTATCCTCACCATTGAGTAAAAGGAACAATAACATATTGTGCAAAAGATTTGAGGTGATGCCTTGGGTAGATTTGTATATAAAGTTTTATGTTCAGTATGTATTTTATTTGTTGTAATTGCTGGTCAATTATTGTGATATGTTTGTATTAAAAATTATGAAAACAATTTATTTTGTGAATGAATAAAAAAAGAAATTAAAGTAATAAGTATATTGTTTCTTCTTATGTATATGATTGTGACAAAAAGTTAAAAAAAGCAGAATACACTTGGATTATAATGCCTTACAAATTATGTGACCATCAGAAAACAGTATTCAATGTTAACAACTGTGTCATTCTAGTTCATGATATATTGAAAGAGGGCGCTACATTTGTCATGTAGTAACCAATCAATCAATCACATCATTTAACTATTAGTGTTCACTCACTGAACAATAAAGTATATTGCAAATAATAATGTGTACATATAGTAGGCCATTCAAAGTTAATTATATTTTAATGTCCGGTCTCATCCTAGGAGAGAGGGGATGTTAAACATACATTAACTTTGAATGACCATTATTGTACATTTGTACAACCAAGTGGGTATCAAAACTCACAGTAAATCTAATGTTACAGATATTGAAACGCTCTTCCTATTTAATAACTTCAACTTTCTTTTCATTTAACTGCCATTGATGTAAAATACTAATTAGATCTTTCATGACCTCGATAGTTTTCATATGTGACATGCAATGTGACATTGACGTGAAATAGTTTAAAATGTGATAAATCAGCCAATGTTGGAACATCAAAGCTTTAAACATTTATTATCGAATTACCACATAATCCTTGTATATATATAAATTATGTATATATACACTATATAAATTATATTTAATTTATGTCTATATAAATTAGGGATTTTTCTTGAGTGGAGGTGTTCCCACCTTTTCGTTGTAGCTTCTCTGAGGAATAATTTATGGTATGGGAGGATTATGCATCATTCATGCATCTTATGGCTGAAATGTGGGTGTATCTTATTTATCTGTTCTCAAGGTTTGTGATGGTTCATTTAAAAAGTGGTCTCTGGCAGTCAGTGAGGAAATCCTTGTTTACATTTTATCAAGAGGAGATTCCTAAGATAACGTCATTATAATCTAAAATTAGATTCACCAAGTCACTCAGCCATGAGCTGTGATTGGTCTAATTTTTACTTCATGGAAATGGTATTTCCCAATAATTTAGATCAAACTTGGTTTCTGATTATTATGGCTTTTAATTTATACGATTGGTTTGGTAGAAGTCGTGTCGTTTATTTTATCAAATATCTCAGTAAAAGTAAAAAATTGATCAAAAACGTATAGTTTCTGTTTTGATTCGTATTCAACTTCTGACCAATCAGAAAGCGTGTTACATCTGTGTTCGCCCTCTCGCTCTATCCAAATAGGGAATATTGGCCGAGTGAGTCACATTTCACGATCGTCCCGTTTCAAGAGGGTTTATACCCTTTTTTATGGATATTTAAACAACTGTCTGCATTCAGTGCTATTTCGGAATATACTCAAAAGAAGTTTAACTGAATTTTGACAAGTTACAGATTGTTAAAAGGTAGGAAAACATTGTAACAAAATCCAGAAGTTTTGGGTGCAAATTTCTGAACTCTGACCTACTTTTGAACAACTTTCAAGTATTGAATTTCAAGTTGGATTCCAGAAATTCTTAAAATAAAGGATATTTGAATTTTTGATGGTAACATAGTGTGACAGTGTATAGTAATAGAGTTTTCACACAGGATGTGATTTGAACAAGTTTGAAACTGTACAAGAAAATATAAGGGGACATCTCACAGTTCACAGAAACGGATATTACTTATCTATTAGCGACAGTTCCCTACTAAAACTTACAAGATGATGATGCCAGATGGAGTGATGATTGACGGGTCATGGGACCTGACAGTCACTGTTACAGACCTTCAAGTCACTGGACAAATCGAAAAAATTCTACGAGTCAAGGGCGACCTCCATGTCGGAGGTGTGATGTTGAAACTGGTCGAAAGCTTAGGTAAGGCACATTTCCCCACATATTAATACTATATAATTCTACGCACACTGCATAACATACTCATTTTGCATGAATTACTATTAAATACATACACAAACATAATCACACCATTGGAGTCATGCAACACCTATTATAAACTTGTTCTTGTCCCGGGAGATTATCATACACGCAAGATTCATCTATAAACTATAAGGCAATACAGAATATAAAATGCTTTAGTGTGATTGCAGATGCGTACATATATTTTCAGTCGTACATCGTAACATGTATAGTAAACTCCTCATGATTGTACAAATGTAATGTCCCTCTGTACATTACTCACTCCGAGACATAGTTGTATTTGCATCGCCTCAGATGTTTTTTCTGTGTTTTTGCTCGCTTCTTCTTCCAATCAGAAATGCATCCTTGAGTTTATCGACAGGTGAAAATGCTCATCTTTGACATTGAAAATGCAACTGTGTAATCTCTTCATTTTCAGTATATGTCATATAACATAATACCCTGGCATCTTTATAATAAATCAACTGCAGATGGAGCCCCATTGTAGAAGATTTAAGATCAAAACAACATTTTTTATCATAAACAATGCAATGTTTAACAATAGCTCTGGCGCATGAAAGTCTGTTGGAGATATTTCACTGTCAAGAGCTCAAAGATTGGCCTTGGATAATGTATTGTAGCATGAAAGCAATAGCAATATAGCTACTACCCACACAAACTGTTAATAACGTTCACATATACTGACCATAAATAAAACAGGAACTGTGGTGTTTAAATACGACATCTGCATTGTTTTTCACATTTTTAATCTTAAGTCAGGTCTTTCATTAAAACCTTACATTTAAAGAATTTAAAAAGGTTGAAAGTCTAGTATGAATGCAACTATATTGGTTTTGCATTTATATGTAAGGGATTGGCTAAAACCACTAGATCATCACACAAATGTATGTTTTATTCGCAAAACACAAATGGTTCTATTAACTTTAAAGGAGTGAAGGCCACTAAAGGATATTATGTCTCTGGTTCTATTTTATTGGGTAATAAACTCTTGCAAATATTTGTTCTTTCTATTGAATATTAACCAGCATAATACAGAACATATCTCGAGCATTTAAGACATTCATAAGCTTGAGATGCCAGAACAATTATTTTGACTTATGTGTATCTTATCATATCAATGCCATGACACAGTGAATTGAGGACTCTGTTTTCTTTTAGGACTATAGTACATTGCATTTGGGTCCTGGACTACTGAATTGTTTTAGGTCAATGAAACTGATATACTTGAAGAAATTATTCAGCTTTTCAACATCCTCATCAGTTGATATTGAATTTCATAAAACACCAGGCAGTACTAGTCTATTGTAAGATATCACAGTTCCTTTCTATTGCTAGTTAGAAAATAGAAAAATGCGATTAGAATCCGAGTGGCACTAGTTCAATATATATTCCTGGAGTGTCAAAGCTTAGTAGATTACAGATGAAGCTCTCTTTTAAGTAGGAAAATAGGCAAAGCAAAGAGTAAATTGTGAATTTATGCCATATAAAATGTTAATATTGAAGAACTGAGGTATGTATTGGTTATAGGTATCATTCTCTGTAATGTTTACTTTTAAGATTGGAATCAACATGTGTGTGTATATATGGAGGTTGAATATTGAAATTAGAAATTGTAATATCTTATACATCTTACCAAAGATCCTTGGCATCTTACATTATTCATCTTTGCATCCTCAATTTTCACTTTTTATTTTTTCACCATAAGGAGCTATAGGACAAGATATCAAAATCAGAATTTAACTTTTTTTCATTTGTATCATTTATTCAAGATTTCAAGTGAAATAGCCTTGGACCAAGGATGGCTCTATGTATATGAAGGGTTTGTTTCTATAGAAATGGGGCATTTTTCCCTCAGGCTGAATATCAAATTTCATTCATAGTCAAATCTTTGATTGGTAAAAAATAAACCAATTGATACAATTTAAGGTGTGAAAACTTTCATTTATCAATGAAAACATTTTGTAAAGGATGTTTACTGAGGGAAAATATGAATAGATCAAACGAGATGGTGTTACATTTCATATAGGTCTAATTTCCATATGAAAACAATAAAAAACAGATGTTTTTAATGAGACAGATTTGATGGTAATACTAATAGAGGAAGTAGTTTGAAATACATTGAAACCTGTAAAGTAGAACATCTCCTGAAGTGGAACACCTCCGTAGAACACCTTTCAGAGTCCCTAGATCAACTGATGATCAAAGGTGTTCTACTTAGACAGGTATAACTGTACGTTGAAACCTCCTTAAATTGAAATTCATGTACACACACAACACAAGCTACACTGCATGAAGAATACAGATAAGTTGGCTATGATCCCAGCTATAATTGATGAAGTATAAAACAAAATGTGCATCATTCCTCCCACCCACCTACTCAACTATTGAAATTATGCTGAAGTTGTAGGAGTTGTGAGAGACCACAAAACCACATTGTGGTTTATGTCAATGTGTTTGAGTGAATGGGCTTATAATGATTATTCAAATAAATTTTGGTCATTCTGCTTTGAAAATGTATTACATATACAAATGTTTTTGATATGGGATATCTACAGGTACGCATTCTGTATATTGTCTGATTTGGTGTCATACCAACTTACTAACAATGGTACAATTTTGTATCTAACTATTAAACAACTCTTCTATGTGTAGATTACAGCATATTTACATAAACCAGTATGTTTTTGATCTCTGGCCTATACAATGATGTCATTGTTGAAGAGTGCATAAATCACATGCAAGAGAAAAAAACAGACCTTCTGAACAGTTTCTTTAATTGTGTAATATAAGTATTCTTGCCTTATAAGAAACCCCATTAAAATGGTCTAATGGTCTTGGAATAAGAATGGAAAATGTAAAAATGAGTCAAATCAGCAATGGTTAAAAACATACATGTAGTCAACACTTAAAACTACATATATAGAAATTCCAGAAAGTTTGACCATCAGTTCCCATTTTAGAAGGAAACTGCAAGGAATAGTTATAATGGAGAAGAGTAATTTATGAAGCAAGAGCTAATTATCCTTAGAAGTCGGGACAGGATATGCAGCATTCAATAAGTTCCACTTTTGATTCTTTAATATGTTATTTGTATTTTATTTTTTTCTGGTCATGCTAACTTATGTCTGTAGGCTAGTAAAGTTTTCTCTTTATTGAAAGCTGAAGTGCTGTAATATTCATGAATTCAATAAAATATATTTTGCCTTCTCAGCTTTTTTCATCATTCTCATTCAAGAAAAAATGTTCGACCAACAAACTCTTGAGATCCTTTTCATGTTCCACGAGACTTTGAGCATGTACACGGCAATTCCTATGAGCATCGTGATCTCATCTATATAGTTCTGTACCATGTTTGGTTATTGCAGTGATCTTACAGATATTAGTCTCTGTCTCACGTCAGTATAATATAGACCTTAAACTTATTCATACATAAGAGATCTTTTTATTCAGACAGAAAATCTAATTTCATCACATATTTATTCCCATAGGGCCTGGCAATGTAAATGACACATTTATATTTTTAACATTCACTAGACACATAAGGCTCTCTCCATTTTCAATCATATACTCGGAGTCACTATCTGCCAACACCGCTATGAATTATGACAGAATTATGTGCTGTGTAAACCAGGGGTATCATAGAACAGGTCATTTTACAGATTACTATTTCAACACCTAATATTCCAGTCTTTGTAGAACCGGATAAACCATTATTGGAAAAATGTCTTGAAAATTGCAAAATTGCGTAGAATTGGCATTCCTATTACATTCTGTATGATGGAATTGGTCTGTTTCAAAATGATGAATTATAGAACAATTTAGAGAATAGAAAGTTGCTCGTAGTAGCATATTATATTTAGAACTGTATTTTATTTGGGAATTATATTTTCATTGGCTTCCATAGAAAGATATATTTAATGTCATACATGTATGGCTTTGACTAAGAGGGACATTTTATAATGGTGATCACAATCTTTGAGATAAATTTAACAAACACACTGATTTCAATTTGTATTTAATTCCATTAGATAGAGAAAGTAATTCATTGTAATGTTAATAGGTAGATCATCCTGGATTAGTGATTTAATTAATCTAGTAGCTACCAGAATTAATTAAGAGCTTCTACTAGAAAAGCTAAAGAGATCATATGACATCATGTGATATTGCTACCATTGTCTTTTGGGTCCTTATTCATCTTGGTCCATCAAGGTATATGATGAAAACATACACCAGTTAAACAGTATGGCCCTTATTGCATTTACATGTATTTGGAAATGTCATAGACAAGTCAAGATGGTCCTACTATAGTCTTGCGTCAAGTTCCTGGTTCCTCTCCCCTGATCTATTATGTGGTGTTTTCATAAGGGCTCGAAGCAAGACTTTTGTACAAATGTATATTGTTAGTGGTACCTGGGTTGCATTGATATACCCTTATCAAACATTGGTTATCTGAATACTGTTGGAATAAAAACAAAATGAAGCATGTAGGATAATCTTTCCCCCTCCTCCCTACCGCATTCTGTATACAAACACTCACTATAATTTGAGATTTTTTAATTCAGCTTTGTTAAACTTATGTTTCATTCATTCATTCAAAGTTCATTTTTCTAAAACCAAGGTCTGAGATCTCGAGCTATCAGGAAAATCTTTAAATCACGAATCTTACTTATTTTCCCTGTTTGCCATCATAGAAATACATCTTGGGTATGTCTTACAGTCTCATGCCTCGTTGAGTGACTCAGATATTTTCTTTTAGCCATTCTTCATTGATCAGGTTGATTAGATCTTACTCAGAAATTATAGCCAGATTTAGCTTTTAGATTATAATCAGATTATAAGAAAATATGAATTCTTTGTCTTAAAAGAGTCCCCAAAGAGTCTAGCATGAGGATTATATTGATGTGTTTTATTGAAGTGGAAGAAGCCAGTAAGAGGGTCAT